TGAAAATCCGATCATTAGAACAAAAGTTGTTCAGGGTGATATCTTTTTTTTTTTGCGGACTGTACATATAATTTATATACATAATTTTATGTACATATAATAGATTTTTGATAGACCTGTACCTAGAACACCCCAAATTTCTTAAGTCCTTTTAAATTCTACAAATGTCTCAATTGAAATTACAGAGTTAACAAAACTGCCACTAGTACTGTATAATTGTAGCTATTTTATTTTACACTATCAAAATTTCAGTTATGTGCTCATTTTATACCATGATATTTTCATATATGCTTGAATTATCATGATTCTCATTATGTTATAAATCATTCGAAAACATTTTGTACTCAAACAAGATGTTGCATAGGATCACGACATACTGTACCAACAAACCTTGGATTTCAAATTAAATCGTGCTCAGCAGTAATTGTTAATAATTCAGCGTTTATATAGAGAATAAATACAGCTTTGAGGAACTACGTAATTTAAAAAGAAGTCCAGCTCTAAAATAAAAGGGAGAGATATTATTCGTAGAAAAAACCACAGATCTGATTATTAACTCTAAATAAGAATTGATGAGGAATTCAGTTTCATACCCTCCACGAACAGGGTGAACATAATAACGTTTTCAGAGTTCCATAACACGTTATGTACAGAAAGCAGATTAAGGGGTTATAATTTCTAAAAAAAAAAAAATAACTCCATAAGCAGTTATATACCCGAAAATTAGGCACTTCTGTCAAGAATAAGAAACAAAGCATGAAATTTGCAAAAAAACAAAGAAGTACAAAGCAAGAAAATTGCATACTTCAGTATAGAGAATATCAATACTGCAAATTCCATAAATATTGAAGGTAAGTTTGAGAGAACTCGTCTGATTGTCTTTCTATGACTTTGTCACACCACCTAATTGTGCATTGCTTGTTAAGTTGTTTTATCAGGGAGTTGAAAGTGCTAGTGCAAGGCATCATGATTACAAATGTAAATTATAAATGACTACTGTTTATTACTATAAAAATGCTATTAACTGCTTCAGCTGATTATTCATTCAGTGAGTTTATGCATTTATTTAGTTTGCGTATTATACTCGAAGCTCTGAAATTTTCCCCTCTGAACAACTTACTAATCTATTTTTTTTTAAATTGACCCTTCACTGTATTTGTCGATTATTTTAACATTCCGTTCTGTACATAAAATGTTATGGAGCTGTAAACATTTCAAGTAATTTTATGTACAGTGCGCAAAATGAAAAATAGGCCACTCTGAATAACTTTTGATCTAATGAATGATTCACGTTTTAGGACTCAGTCTTAATGGTTCGCGGGAATGACCTCAAATATGCTAATTAATTAAAGCAGACGAAATTTTAAGTAGCGAAATCTTCTTTGACAAATTCGGATTTCTAAGCCTAAAAATATAACCACAATATGGTGAATATGGTCTCAATAGTTTGGTCAAGATAGCAGTCAAAACTTTGGACCTCTTAATGTCAATTTTACTTTTTGCGTGTTTCACCAGAGCTCGAGAACTTTCTAAGTGAATTGAAAAATTTTTACTCACTATTATAAAATTCTTTTAACCTAAGATAATTTCTAAGAAAATATAACTTTTGTATACATAAATTATTTTTTATTGTTTTTTATTATTCGATTTTGTAAAATACTTGCTTATTTTATTATTCTATTTAATCAAAGTCGAAAAAAAATATTGAATTATGAGGTATAAAATTTTTAGCAATGTTTTAAAGAATGTAATTTTAAATTGCTAAATACAAAATTTGGGAGCAATTGGCCGAATAGTTTCTGGGGAAGTTTTCTGAGGAAGGATAGTTTCTGAGTGTTATTAAAATTTAATTCATCAGGACCTATTAGTTTGATTTTGTTCAAATTTTGTATTTTGACATGTAAACATACATACTTTAAAATGATGCAAAAATTTTTATACCTTACAATTTAAATACTTTTAGACTTTTATTAAATACAATGATAAAAAAAAGTAAATACTCACTAAAAGTTATTTTTTGCATAGAACTATCTTTGGCTAAACGAATTTTATAATTGTGTGCAAACATTCTTTAATTCTCTTAAAAATTTTCCGACATAGTGCGAAATAAACAAAGTAAAATAGCATTAAGGGGTCCGAACTTTGAACCGCGCTCCTGATGCGACTATTGGTACCATATTTCCCAGATTACGGCTACCCCCTATGTTTTGGTGGTTAGAAATCCGGTGAAAAAAATATATGTGTTTATTCACTGAAAATACGTTTTTGTGTCTAATTTCGTAACTTAAAATATCGTCTGCACTAATTAATTAGCTTATTTGAGTTCACCCGATTGAGCCATTAAGATTGAGTTTTAAAAAGTGAAGATCCGAGCATTATATCAAAAATTATTCATGGGGGTCCGTTTATTTGTTTGCGCATTGTTCATCCTGTAGTACACTTAAAAAAGGATTAGATTATATAATCATAAAATGCTCTAAAATAATCCATTGAATCAAATAATAAACTTTTTGAATGGATATGCTATTTCTCTAAGGATATCCTTTCTTGCTTATAAAATATTAATTAATATTTATATGTTTGATGAATTAAGTGATCAAAACACAAGAAATAATATGTATTACCTCAATAAACAGGACGTCGTAAAGATCCCGAGCAGAAAGGTAATCGGTTATTTGAGCTCCACTATATTTTGTAAGATATTTATACAATTTCTGAAAAGAAAAAAAAAACTATTATACATTCCAGTAGCATTATTGTCATAACAAATTGACTTGAGTTGTGCGCACTGCATTTAATGAACCCAACTGTGACTAAATGACAAGATTTAATTTATTTATTTTTACGGTTGGTAATTTCTTTTGTGATATCATCAACTATTAATATTAAATCTAATTGAAACTTAATTATTTTAACCCTTTGACTACTTCCTGAGCAAGCCATCGCTGTAGACTAAGAATGCAAATGCGTGATCGGCGAAGGCTCTGTCTGTTTGCATCTTCCCGATTGTGTCTGTTTTGAATTTGTTTCTCTCCCATATGTCTAACACTCGCAGAAATCTCATACAGTGTTGCTTGGAGCAGCGGTTGTTAAGGCGGACCTTCACCTTCCAATGAGGTCACTCAGGCTTGAATTGCAGTGGTGGGTGATCGATACGAATTCTGTTTCCGCACCGACCACAGTGCTGACGTAAAATATTCTCAGTGCTAGCCGGATCATGACTTAGAATCCCCTTGCCTTCGGATTTACTTAGGGATATTTTCCCTAAGTAAATAAGTAAGTAATATTTCCTCAGCACAGGGATGGGCAAACTTTTTTCGTGGAGGGAAAAAAATCGGGTGAAAATGTTTGGTGGGCCGAGTAAAAACTTGGAGGGAAAAAAAACGATAAACAAGTTTTAATTTAAATATTTAATGAGATGAATGAAAATGCGATTTCATTTTCCATATATTGAGGTTCGAAGTGACATGTGCTTATTTTAAGGAACAAGGCTAAATGCTTGTTTGTTAGTTTACTTCGGAAATGATTTTTTCTAAGGTTCATAGTTGAAAACACTTGTTCACATATATAAGATGAAGCAAATATAGCACTGATTTTCTGCGCATGAGATACTATATTTTAGAAACTAGCTTTTGGTAATGATTTGCAAAACTCAAACTTTGGCATGTTTAGAAACAACAATTGTGTGCAATCCTTCCATACTCAATAAATAATGTTAGAACTCACACCGGCAAAAAAATCCGCTTGTTGGAGCTTAAAATGCTCTGTCTGCCACATGTGAAGCACAATCCACCTTTGTTAGATTCCATGTGTCTGATCCTCAAGAAAGACAAACGCTTGTTGGAGCTTATCTGCGTCTATCTTTTATAAAGAACTTCTGCTTTCAACATTCTACAAATTGAAGCTGTCTGTTTTAACTATTTCCATCAATTCTACCAATAGCGAAAGTAAAAACGTCATCAGTACTTTGTTAAAAAAAAAAAAGAACAAAAATGGTTTTAAACAAAGTAGACAAAATAATGGATGTATAATGTATGTTGTTTATATTCACCACGGATCGGCAAGTTAAAATTCTATCCGAGGGTCGGATGAAACCTTCCGACGGGCCACAGTTGGCCCGCTGGCCGTAGTTTGCTCATCCCTGCCTCAGCATGTAACGCAAATGAGTGTTGGTTCCACCAAAAAGTCTTCAACGAAATCTAGTTTGTCCCAATGCTTTATCCAGGAGTTCCCTTGTCTTCCAGATTGAGTTAAAAATTACAAGGCTACGGAGTTGAACATTGACAATCGTAAACTCAGAATGGGGTCAGCTGTTCAATACCGGTTATTAAACAAAAAATAAAATACCTCGTTACTTACTAATGAGAAAAAAAAGGAAATTTCGCTTAATTAGTAAACTAATATCCACATGCATACATTATAACAATAAAGTTAAGGCCTTTTACGTCTTCATTGATCAATATACAATGTATGTATATTGAGAATATAAAATGTTTGCGTCTGTTTCTAAGTAGTTAAAGCAGTAATTGTAATTGTAATTAGACTGTGCATATTATAATGTCTTAATACGTCGTCAAAAAAATCAATGCTGTGCGAGAAAACATACAGTCCGTATTAATAACTTCAAATTAAAACAGTAAATTATCAGACAATCAACAACAACATTAGGGTTCATTTGAGAAGAGAACAAAAGAGAGGGACGTTATTGGTGAGGAGCGAAAGGTTCAAGTTTTAAACAAAAGTGAGTGAACTATAAGACTTGATCAAATAACAGTGATTTCGATCACCGATTAAAGGAGAATTGGTTCGAGTACCGATGTAAAGATAGTGGGTTCAAGTTTTAAATAATAGAGAGTGAATTAAAGGACATCGATCCTGTATTTCCTTAAATTCTTTTAATTTCGAGACAAGAAAGTGGAATATTTTGTCCCAATACGGGATCTTAGTATATTTTAAAATGAAAAGTTGTTCAAACATTTAATGCCTTTAAATTTAATAGAAATAAGTAAGAGGTTGTACGGAATGTTTTCCGGAAGTGATTCTGAGTTCTCGTTGATCGAAGAGAGTTATCTTTCCACTACACGCCTATGAGGACGCTATACCATGGAACTAACTTTTTGTTTTATCTTCACTGGAAATTTAAAATTTGAAATATAGAAAAAAGTGAGTTCAGGTAAAATTAGAATAAAGTAAGTATGCTTCATCAAAATGCAAAAAAATTAAAACAGGACTAAGCATGATTGCGCAGTGGGAAAACAATCCTGGCATTATTTTTCCTGATATAGATTTAATCCGGAAAAATCATATTCCTAATATAGATTTGTGTATGAATGGAAAAAGGATAATTATGCATGCAGATTAATTTTTTCAGGATGTTAGATGCTTATTACGTTATTACATAGATATGTTTCTGTGTTGTTTTGTTTCTAATGACACTTGGAGAAGCCAAGCTCGCCAGCCATTGCCCTTTTGTTAATTATGTTAGGAAAGTACGTCTTTCGTTTGACAAGGAGCATCGTGAGGGAGTAGGTATGTTTCAACTCAGAACCCTATGAATAGATGGCAGCACCACACATTTTTGAGGCTGATTTCTCAATTTAGACATAGATTTGAAGGGGAGGGAAATTTGTTTCAGATCCTTGCAACCGCACTACGACTCAGAGGCTGACACATGACGTTTGATTCTACACATTTTACTAACTTGAATATCACATATACTTAGTGAGTGTTTGCAGATGGAACCCCGTCCACTCCGAGGTCTGATTTTTCTAATCACAGAGATACCACGGTCACGGTCATACATTATTATTCATAATATATAAAAATGTCTAACTTTATGAAAGGCAAACAAAGAAAGGAAAATATTATGCAGACTGAGTTAGAATTTTTATGAATTTATAAAAATCTTATATATGTTTTAAGAGATTCAAATATATCAATGAAAATGCCCCGGTATTCAGTAATTATCGAGTTATTTAAATAAGTACTGTATAGATCTTGTTCGATTACACACTCTACTCTCTTAAATAAGATGAAATTTAGTTTCATATTTCTTATAAAGTGTAGTAAGTAGGGTTAGTATGAGAGTTAAGGGAGCCATAAGGAGAAGTATTATTAACCCTATTTGTTTCAGATTAAACACTTAATCAATTGATAGCATTATTTCTTGTAAGTTTTCCCTTTCTGAGAAATATGTTATTACCGTACATGTAAAAGCCAGTATATCTGTTGTTTACTCATGTATTCTTTATTAATATTTTTTTCTTTTAATTATGTATTTATTTATTTTACTAAATGCCTACATCTAAGAAAGGGTATAGTTCGTTCACCAGGAGTTGACACTTGGCTCCACCTTCTCGGACGCAGAGTTCATTTCAGCGCTGGGGAGTAAGAAGAGAAACATCTCAGCGCTTGAAATTAAGACAACCCTTAATGCGTGCCAAACACAAACAATAAATTCTTTTTCAGTCACTTACTTCTCTTATCATCTGCTACTATACTTTTCGTTTCTCTATCTAATTAAATATATTTTAAATTTAAAAACCGTAGTTTTCCCAGCAAAATATCTCAAAAAGGACTAACTATTCACTCAAAAGAGAAATATCCTTAAATTTATGAAACATTCAGTGTTAAAAAAAATGCACATAAAGATAGCGAAATAAATATTTTTGTCATACGATCGCCAAATGGCAACCTTGTTCAGGGTTGTTCACATCCTTCACCCAAAAATAGCGAAATAGTATCGTCGGGTACCACGTGATGAAGGTGGAGTCAAGAGCTAACTCCTGATGAACGAACTGTAGACTCATCGTGAAAAGCAAATCAGAAACCATTTGAACTGGATATCGAAAAACGTATAAAGAACTAGACCACTTTAAAAAGACGTACTTGGTGCTTAGCGTTGAATGCTTGATTGGTTGGTGAGTTTAGTTCCTTATTTAACTCCTTCTGAAATGCAGGACAGTTTGTACTTCCCAAAAACTGAAAGATACAAAGGAAGATATCGCCAATCATTTAAGTAAATTCTTTGAATGATTTAAAATTAATGTGTAGAATTAATGGGTTTACCTTGTCTAAGGCAACAGGAATCGAAGTTATAGGTATAGGCTGCCAATCAAAATCCTCCACAAATTTCCATTCGGGAGTTGGAGCATAAAAAGACGCAAAGTTTGCTTCGGCACTAGCCAAACAACGATCGACATCGGTACTCACAGCATCGACCTAGAAGAGAGAGAGTTTTTACGCATTTAAATACTATGGTAGTTTCGTACATTGTAAAAATAAAAATTCCTTTACCAGAGATACTAAAAACAGCGGATGATTTGAAATTTTGATTGATTTAATTACACTAAGGAAAAAATTTTTCTCAGTAGCAGGAGATTTTTTAACAGATTACTTTCGTATCACTGATTTCAAATCTGAAAACAGATTTTCAATCCAAGCTAAAAAAAATTTTAAAGTTATTTTTAGTGTCTTTTTGTCGAGTAGAAGTTTAAAAAAGCACGCTATG